GTGGAGTTAGGCCGGTTCTCTTAAATTACTCTTTATTTATTCTATAAAGTATATATAATAATGCATGCCCTTTGTATTAGGTTACTGTTGAATTCTTTCCTTTAATAGAAAAGAGAATTTTTCTTGTATCATTAAATATTTAATTTTGATTTATCTCATTCAATTTTAAAATTAATAATGTTTCCCTTGTACTTTTTCAAAATTATCTAATTTTTCCTTTGTGTGTTGCTATTTATACATTAATGGCGAATTCCTATCATCTTTATAATGAACATAAATATAAAATACATTGTAAAATGAATTATTCGTATGCCACTCTCATGAACAAAATTTACACTACATCTGATCTCCTAACTTTACACAAAATTTCAATGCTTTAATTTTATAAAATATTTTTTCAATTCTTTTAACACCATCAATTTTATTAACAAAAAATATTAATACTATAATTTTAGATACTCACAAAGAATGATCAAATGATGGTATTACAATGTAATTATTTTTTAAAACTAAATTTAGGATAAGACTTATATACTTAACATACTATTATATTCAATCAAATCATGACAAGTAGATCTTAATGTGTTAATAAAATTAATAACACAAATTTTTTATAGAATAAATAATCTATAAAAGATTCACATGCCTTAATTTAATCAAAAACAAACATATTAAATATATAAAGTTAAGTGTATGAGTATTCCTCATAAATTTAATATATCAGTATTTGGTAATGTGTTGTAAACATTTAAAATCACGGTGTCAACATTTTTTTTTTTGTAGTAAGACTAATAGTATTAGCCTAGGGTTAGATGATTAAAAAGATGCTTTATGAAATGAAAGAATGACAATCAAATCTCATAACAGGGAATTTATGAAAGCTAGGTCTCTAACAAAGTTTCCTGAAAAATAAGCCACAAATATTTATTCAAACAATTGCAAATAGCTATCCTATAAATTGAGAGTTATATTTAAAATTTTTTAAAAAAATTACATCTAGGTCCCATGTAAGGAATTTATTACCAAGGGATCCCATAAAAATTATAAAATACCTCCAAATCTCAAATCCTACACATTGATATTTTGACTAAGGGCATTAACAACTGAGCAACAGTCATTTATAACTTATAAAAAAAATGACAACAAGTAATAACAAGTTATAAATGATCGTTGCCCAATTATCAATGCCCTTAGTCAAGTTGTCAATGTACAGGATTTGGGACTTTGAAGTATTTTGTGAATTTTATGGGACCTCTTGATAATAAATTTTTTATATGGGACTTAGATATAATTTTTTCTAAAATTTAAATGTTTTATTTGCAATTAGAACTCCTAAATTTTTAACTATCTAAATCAATATTTACAATTAATTTTTTAAAAAATTTATTAGGGACCTAAGTATCATAAATTCATCGTTTTGAGACTTTATGTCATTTTTCTTTATAAAACTAGAGAATAAAATTGAAATCTTATATAAAATTAAAGAATCAAATATACACTTTTGCCTAATTAAATACATAAATAACTTTGGGAGAATCTCATCTGGGACCTAAAATTTGCAATTAGGATCCAATGCATTTTAAAATTATTTTGTAGGCCTAAGAGCCCTTTTTGCAAATATATTTTGGAAGGGAAAAAGCATAATTGCCCTTCATGAGAAACAAAGAACTTTATGTTAACTGTCAATGAAAAATTACTTATCAATATGTAAATATAAATTTTAAATTTTGATTATAAATAAATGAACCTATATTTATAAATATTCAAACTTTAAATTGAAAATTTATTAAGTTAGTCAAGATAAACATGTCAACTCTAAATAAAAATTTCACTTTTAATAAACAATTAATTGTTAATATGTAAATTTAAAGTTATGAATTTGTAAATATATAGATGTAAAAATCTGATCTTGTACTTGTTATCTTTTTTCACTATGGGCAACTGTGTCATTTCTCACTAAAATATATTTGCAAAAGTGACTCTTGGGCTTGTAGAACCATTTTAGCATACATTAGGCCATAAATACTGTTTTTCTCTCCTAGATGAGATTCTCCCAATAACTTTTGGAGGTCAATGTAACTTCTAAATTTGTTAAATTTTTAACAAATGACATGGTAAGAGATGAAGTTTAGAGTAAAATACATTGATTTCCTTTTCATTTTGCTAAAATCACAAAAACTTTTCCTTTATTTTCAAAACCTATACTATTAGTCTAATTTTTAACAGTTAAAAATAATCCGTTAAAGATTCTAAAATAATTGTAGTTATGTTGAAAATCTATCTAATTGTCTACTTTTTCTCTCTCCCTCAATTTCAGAAACTTAAATAATTAAGTATGGAGATAATTAAATAAATAATTTTAAAATCTTGTATTAAAATTATAAATTTTCTAATAAATAAAGATAAATTATATTGACTAATTTATCTCATATTACATTAAATTTCTATTTCATTTAGTTTTTTTTCATAAGTTTTTGAAATATTACTTTACTCACCTCATATATTTAACTTTTTTAAAAAAAATACTAAATAAATAAGTTTGCATAACTAAAAAAAATTGGAATAAAAAGGTAAAAAATATCCATTAAATTTTTTTGTAATTAGTTTTAATAATTTTAGATAATATTTATTTTTTTGGTAATTATAAAAGGGAGGTGTATGTCTTGCAACCATTGATTTTAGATGTGGTTCATATGTTTTAAAAATAGAGAGGAATATTTATAATTAAGATAAAATAGAAAGGAATCAACATATTTTATTCTAAATTTTAATTTAACCTTTTTAAGAATTTCAGTTGACGGATAACAAATTCAATTTTTATAAATAAAAAAGTATTCAAATGACAGTTGTATCTGGCCTAGTTAATGCTTCTTCCTTCTAACGGGCAATTAAACTAAAAAATGGGACAAATTTTGGAAAGACACAGTACCTATAGTTTTATCAAATTTTATTTTTAGTTTCTGTAATTTTTTAAATATTTTTAATCACTATAATTTTAAAATGATTAGGTGACTTCTATTTTTCAAGTTCCTATAATTTTTATTTTTCAGCATTTTTAGTTCCTATAGAGATTTTTTTAGGCCATATCTTCATATAACCCCACTGATTAATGACTAAAAACTTTCCAGCCCATTTCTAATGTCTTAAAATTTGGACCCGTCGTTAAATTGTAAATGCCATTCAGTAAAAAAAAAAAATTGTAAAGGCATGTAGACTTCAGTTTTTATAGTTCAACTATTTAGAGTAATAGTTTAATCACTGAAGGAATTAAATCTAATAAAAAAAGCTAGTCTTTCACAAAATGTGGTGAACCAAAATTCAAATACTAATTAGGAGAAGCGTCCACATTTAATACACGACTAGATCTCGAATAAGATTATTTTTAATAAAAAAATACTTATAAACAATAAAAAAATAAGTAATCGATGACTGATGACGTAATAATTAAATAATATATATTATATAAGAAATAAACCTATAATAAGTGTAATTGTTAACATAATAACATCACACAATATGTGAAGTTCTCAATAAAATAGCACCACATAACCCCAAATCCATAACATTATAACTTTATGACTTGTCAAACATATAAAACTAAATTGCAATTAATAAATAATAAAATTTAAAAACATGATTCAAGTCTATAAATATGTTAAATAATAAAATTAAAATTATTTTAATATCTTCAAAGGTAAAACAATTTTAAAAAATATGATTCAAATACGTGAGACTTGCAATTATTTCAACAAACATATTTTAATATCTTCGGAGTTAGAACAAATTTAAAAAACATGATTCAAATATATAAATACATTAAATTAATAAAATTAAATTTATACCAAAGTACAATTTCAGGACAGTTTCGGTAATCTATTAAAAAACATGATAAACATGAAGAAACTATTTAACATTAAAGTTAATAAAATTAAATTGAAATCTTATCAAAAGGTATAAACATATTTACATCATCATCAAAGTTATTCATCATATTCTAGTTCGAGGTGGCTTATATCATTTACAATATTGAGTCATGTAAAATTTGTACAACGCACATGAGCCAATCTAGTTAGGTTCAAAACTCGTTAATTGGTTTTTCAGAAATTGAACAGTTTTAGCTCAATTTTAAGTTTTGACTCATTGGCCACTTAACTCTAATCCAACCATACGCAACCATGATAATGATTTTCTAGTACAAACCAAGTTGTCAATGAGCTGGTCAACAAGCCAATCATCTCACGCAACTCAATTGTAAAACAGCGCCATACCATCTTATAATATATGTGTGTGTGTGTGTATGTACATACATACGTACATATGTACGTATGAGATAAAGAAATTTTTTGTTCCTCAAGTTATTTTTAATTATCGATTTGATCTCTCAAACTTAATTTTTATTAATTTAATCTTTTATTTAAAAATAAAAATACTATAGTCCTTTAAGTTTTAAAACATAAATTTACTCTCAAATTAATCCAATGTGTGTAAAGCATTTTAATAACTTGATATGCATATATAGCTAAATGAAAACAAATTAGCTTTTAAATCAATTTAATTTTTATTAATATAATCTTTTATACTGTGTTTTGTTGTTTTTTTTTTTAAATTTTTGAGTTTTTTTTCCTTATTTAACCAATTACAATTCTTCTCATTAATCTATATAGTTGTCATTAATATTAATTTCATTATCTATGTTAACAGATTTTAACAATGTTATATCCTATAAAATAATATCAAATCAATAGTCGAAGCAAAAATTAAGGGATCAAATTGATAAAAAATTAAATTTGAGAGATCAAATTTGTAACTAAAGCAAACTTAAGATACTAATAAATTATTCATTATCCTTATATATATATATATATATATATTGATCAGTCTCCTCATTATAGAAACTAGACTATCTTAACAAGTCATACATGAAGATGGTTATCCCCATTATCTTCTTCATCTCATGTCTTCTCTTTTCAACTTCGTCCTCTCAAACTTCTACATTTTAATTCTGTGTTGCAGATTATACAGCTCCTACTAATCCAGCAGGATATTCTTGCAAGAATCCTGAGAATGTCACAATAAATGACTTTGTTTTCTCTGGTCTGAATGTTCCTAATGGTAACAATACAAACAGTATCTTCAAAGTTAGTTTCACAACTGTGTTTGTTGCTCAACTTCCTGGTCTTAACGGTCAAGGCCTCTCATTGGCTCGTTTAGTTAATGAAGTTGGAGCTGTTTTGCCAATCCACACACATCCTGGAGCTTCAGAAACTCTTTTGGTTCTTGAAGGAAATTTGACCGTTGGATTCATCTCAACCAACAACACTGTCTTTTTGAAACCTCTCAACCCAGGGGATGGTATCTTATTTCCTCAAGGCTTACCACACTTCCATGTCAATGAAGGTATCTACGTAGTTCTAGATTTTTTGTTTTTTGTTTTTTTAGAAAAAAAAAATATACCTATTTGTCCCTATAGTTTTATCGTGTTTTTGTTATGGGCCGGTCTTTATACTTTTTTTATTGTTACGAATCTTATAATTTTTTTGTCTACAATGTTAGTCGCTCCATTTTTAAATATTTTTATAAAGATAACTAATGTCATTTTACTGTGCATCAAATGGATGTTAGGTTTTATTTTGTTCATTTTTATAGACTTTGAATTCATCTTTTCACCTTTGCTTTGGTTTCATTAGCAACATCAAGATACTATATGTTGACATTAGGAGTTCAATTATTTTGTCTTCATGTAATTGAGTATAGTTTTTCAGTTTCTTCCGTTTGATATTTATTATTCTGTATTTTGTAATTGTTTTATCACTTTTTTTTTCTTTTTATTTTGATATCCAGCACAAGATTTTATATTGTTAGTCATACATCAAATAATTTAACATCGTGGATCCTTTAAAAATAGTCTAATTCACACTAGCTAACCATAGAAATGAGTTTTTATAAGGGATTTGGATCTTTTATATGTGTGTGTGGAGTAGGGCTGTGCAAGAAGCCAGAAAGCCCACAATGCTCGACCCAGCCCGATGGTTTTTGGTCTTGCCCATGCCCGAAAAAAGTTGCTCGAAAACAAATGGGCATGGTCGAGCTAAGCCCGAACTTCGGGTTGGGTAGGGTTTAGGGCTAGGGTGTCCAACTAGTTAGCCTTGCCAGCTCAAGACTATATGTTATTTTTCTAAAAAAAATGGCATCATTTGTTGGCTGAAAGTAGAAGTTTGAAATGAAACTTAAAACCCTAGCTTCAAGTCTTCAACTCTTCTCAATTTAGTTGTCTCCCTTTCCTCTCTTTTTCTCTCCTCTCCTCTTTTCTCCTCTTATCACAGCACACACTCGAACTCGCGTCTTGCACAGTCACACCACCACGCTACTCGCTTGTCGACCACAATACCACCCATGATTTACAGCATCATTCCTCCATTCATCTTGGCTTATCGACTTTGTCTGTCATGTGTGACATTTTAGCGACTTCATATCATGGTCTTAGCTCCTCACCTCCTTCTTCTCACCTTCGGTCGCCTATTAGCTCATGGTCGTCATTGTCTGAGAAGGTATTGCATAGATTATGTCTACCTTTGTTCTATTGCTCGTCTTTCATCACCGTCGAGGCTGCTTCATCTCTTCTTGTGTTCAAACCATGTTGCTCTAATATCTAATTTATGGTTTTATGCTCTGGTCTTTGATTCCTAAGCTCTGGATTTGATTGCTTTATTGCTCCTGATCTCTTACTCTTTGATATTCCAACAATTCAAAGATGCATAAAGACTAAGCATCAGCCTCGTGTTATAATCATTTTGATGGTCACTACATCTGGAAATCTCTCTCTCTCTTTTTAATATGTATTTGGGTATGGCATTTCCAGGTTTATTGATTTTTTTTCATTTTTAGATATATTGTTATTGGAAAAGATTTTTTAACCCATCATTTTGTTATTGGAAATGGTTTTTTAGGGGTTAATTTGAGCCTAATTTTAATATATTTGGTCCAACAAAAAGTTTCTACTTACTCAAAAAAAGGATAATAAATTGAATATCTAACCTGACATGCTCGATCTCTGCCCAACTCTGCCCGCCTGACCCCTTCATGAATGGGCAGGGTTAGGCTTGAGCATGTTTTTTTGGCCCAAAGACATTTAGGGCAAGGCATCGGGTTAAGGGTATGCCCTACCCGACCCTGCTCATGCACAGCCCTAGTGTGGAGGTTGTGTGAGAGAGATGGAGACAAAGACAAAGGGAGATGATACAAGAATAGAGATCCTCATCTCCTTAACATAATATAGTAATTAACAAGGAGTCAATTGGTTGGGAATGTAATATATTAAAAACAATGAAAACAAAAATAAATTAAATTACCTTATCTTTTATAGTAAGTATAATACAATTTAATACCACACATTATAAATATAGGAATTACCACACTTATCACAAACCTCATGGAGTATGACTTTTAATTTATGAATTAAATTACATTTCCCTCTTCATAAACTTGGTTGACTTATCTTCTTTGGAATTAAATTTTCCTTCTTATCAATCCTTCCATCTTCATAAACACAGTTGACTAATCTCTTCTTTATATTGTGATTATTCTATTTTTATCTTTATTTTCTTCATTTATTCTATTCATTTCTTTTACAGCAAGTAAACTAACCTTGAGCTATGTTAATCCCATTGGAACCAATTATTTTTCCAGAATCTATATTATTTAAAGTTTTTAATTTTTTTGTATGGCTGAAATTTTATAAGTAGAATGTGATATGATTTATATTATGGGGGCGCACATTTTCTATCAATATGTTTTATTTATTATTTTTTATTTCAGGTAACACTCCTGCTGCGGCAATTGTACACTACAATAGTCCGAACCCTGCTTTTCAATTTATAGACTTCTCGTTGTTCTCAAGTGATTTAGCCGCTCCTTGATAACAGCCACCACCTTCATTAATGCTTCTGAAGTGAAGTGAGGAGGCTCAAGGCTCTTTTGGAGGGTCAGGATAAAATAAAATATATGCATACTTTAGCAGGCTTGCTAAAATGTTATTATATATATATATATATATATATCTATCTATCTATCTATGTATGATCCACATGTTTAAAATAAAATAAATGTTTGAAGTAATCTATTTTGTTTATAGGAATTGAGTGCTAAGTTAGGGAAATGGAAAAGGTGATGTGGTAAAAATACAATGTTAGACAAAAATCAATTTAGTTGGTAAATATTTGACATATGACCTCCAGGATCATGGCTTCAAGTCTAACTCATTGCCCATATAAGGACTTTGTTGGTAGGCGATATGTAAATACTTTTATAAATGTTTTTTTATACTTTAAAAACGTGCTCTAATCATAGTGGTTAGTGGGGACCAAACTCACATAAACTTTCTCCTTAGAAAAAAATGCAATGTTGGAATTGGTCAATTAATACTCTATTATTTTATTCCTATCGTTGTTTTAAGAACCTAACTGAACTATTAACTGAAGCAGTTAATAGCTCAGTTTGAACCAAAAAAATCATTTTCATAATTGAATTGGGTTGGATTGTAGACTATAGTTGAACCATCATTGAGCTAGAAATTAGAGTTGAGTTGGAATCGGAACAATTTTTAGAGAACTGAAGATGTCTAAATATAATACTAAAAAAAGGCTAAAAAAATAAAGAGCAGAAAATTTTAAAAAAAAAAACCCTACTAAAAGCCAAATTTATTTTTAAATCTTGGACATGTATATAATTATGATTTGGAGCCTTTTCTCTAAGAAGATGTTGATAGCTACAGGTATAAATGCAGAATCTTTAAGTTTGATTTCACTTAATTTGACCAAGATCTATTTATATTTGATAAAATATAAATTTATAATTTATATATTTTTTATTTATACTCATATTATTTTATTTTGTTAACAATTAGACATATTGTGAATTTATTTTTCACATATATATATATATATATATATATGTTTAACATATGCATCTAATATTTTTTAAAATTTAATTTTAATTTAATTATTATGTTATTAGTTCAATCTCAATTGAATCAAGTAAAAATTGAGAAATGCTAGCATTGCCGTTTTGACATCTTGTTCGTTAAGGGTAGGGGAAAATTTCAACATGTCCAATGAGGTATCAACAGTAGTTGACCAATGAGCTGCGTTTTACAAAATTTGTATCATAAGTTTGATGCTCCAATATTTAATAACTTTTTTAATTATATTTGAAAGTTAGGAAGTTGGATTGTGAGGCTTATCAAGGTTAAAATATGGCTTTTGACTCAAATAATATTTATAAAAATATTTACATATTATTTATCAATAATATTTTCATATAGATAATGGGATTTAATTTCACAACTTTATAAATTATGAGTCAAATCTTTATAAACTAAACCAATCTTTATCAATCAAAATTTAGATAAGTTAAATTTTAAGAGCTCTATTAACAAAATTCTCACATTAATAATAAAATATTAACATACGATCTTATAAATTATGAGTTAAATTTTTATCAGGTAAATTAATTTTTAGTATCTAATATAAGAGTGACAGAGTAAAAATAGATGTAAAAATTATAGAATTGTCCTATTAGTATGACTAAAATCAATACTGTTCATTGGAAAAATATTACCGAGGAGTAACTCCATTTGTAAATTTATATATTTGACAAATAATTAAAATAATCATTTTTCCCTTAATTCTCCGAGAGCGGCGTGCCCTACCCTTATAAAATGCAACAATGGCATGAAAAGCAGAGCGCAGCCATGGGAAGCCGGAAGGAGCACGAGCCGCCCAATTCCACACCCAAAAACCCTAACAGTCGTAAAACCCTCGCTCCAAAACTGGCTAAGGCCAAAATCACCAAGAAGAAGAAGAAGAAGAAGAACGGTGGCACAGTCCAAAGCATTGGCGAACCCCAGCCTGGGATCAGCCAAAACAATGGAAGCGTCAAGGAGTTTCAACCAGCATCAGCTTCAGATCAGCTGCGGTTCTTTCTCGATCAATTTCAGTCTGCAAAGGGCGTTCAGATTTCTTCTCTCGAGTTGGAATCGCTAAAAGGTATTCTTTTTTAATCTTTAAGCTGTTTCAGATTTTGATGGGCCACTGGTATGATACGTTATTGTTCTTTTTTGGGGCTGAAATAATGTTGTTTAACATATAGAGTTTGAGGAATAATGCCCTATCCCAAGTTCCCTCTTTCGTTTTGATATTGAATAGGCTTTTCGCTTGTGTATTTTCGCCTTTTGTTTGGGAACGGCAGCATGAAAAATGATTTGTTTTACTAATTGGGGCTATTTTCACTGATTAACCTTTTTGGAGAGCTGACATGATTTCTATACACGCAAAAACCTTACTCAGAATGGACACTTGATGTTACTTTATTTTTGTGAGTGGCCTCTATTGATTGATGATGTTGTAACGTGTTTGTTATTGTTATTATAATTAGAACTACACCCATTGCAGTAAAATTTGAAGTGAAAATTCATTAAATTTCTTCATTCTGGAGGCTTGCTATAGCATTCCGTATTTGAGAATTGAAGCTCTGTTTACATTATGCAGAGACATGCATTTTGGAGTTACATCAGGACTCAAATGAAGATGTTAAATCCTTGGGGAAAAATATCAGAGCGGCTTTTGGCCAATCATGGAAAGAGGTGCTGTGTGAAGGACAGCTTGTGGAAGGAAAAGTTGATGCTGGCAGTCCAGCTGTTCTTATAGTTAGTTCATCTGCCTTGAGATCCATTGAACTTTTAAGGTGTGGTTTCTTCTCTTAAGAGGTGAAATTTTTAGAATTACTTGTTCAATATCTGTTTTCTAATTGTAAGGTTTTACCCAAAAAAGTCAATATACTTGTGTAGGGGATTTCGGTCATTGACAAAAGAGTGTCGAGCTGTAAAGTTATTCTCAAAGCATATGAAGGTTGAGGAGCAGGTAAGCAGGATGACTCTTCTATGTTTTGCTAATTATATATATATATATATATATGAATTGATGATGGGACAAAAATTTCGACTACTAGTTGAGCTTATCTTTTTATAATAAGCTAGCAAGATTAACTTGCAGTTATCTCGCTTTATTCAGGAAAGGGAAGAGAAGCTTGTTACAATATTGATGCTAAATTTGGAATTGTTTGCTGAAGTTTTTGTTATATTTTGCATGTCAGTTTGGTCCATAGTTGACAATGGTGGTTCTTTTCTCATTTATATCATGCACTATTCACATTGAGATAACTTTTCTCAATGTAATAACGTTTGGGAAATGATGCCAAATTTAAAGATAGTTTCTGAAGAACTTGCCATGTTGAGTGGTTCTTATATTTTGCACGTCAGTCTGATCCCAAATGTTCAATAATTGATCTGTTACTTTTATAGCATGTATGATTCAATGAAATGTCTTTCTATTCATGTTGAAATTAGGGAAATGATGCCAAATATGAAAATATTTGCTGAAGCACCTGCCATGCTGAGTGGTTCTCATATTTGCATGTCAGTTTGACCCCGAATTATAAATTGTGGATCTTTAAACTTTGTAGCATATGCTGTTAGTGGAGATGTCCTTTTTCCTTCTGTTGCACATTTCAGCTACTAATTCCAAATTTGAGAGCAGTTCTTGAAGCACTTACCAGTTACCATGCATAGTGATTCTTATATTTTGCATTCTACCTGATCTCAAATTTTTAATGGTATATTTTCTCTTGTCCAATAATACCATTCAGTGGGTTTCAAAATATTTTGGAACAGATGCTAATTCCAAAGTAGCATTTGCTGAAGCATTTTCTGTGACGAGTGGTTTTTGTATTTTGTGTAATCGCAAATTTTTCATTTGTACATTTTTTTCTCTTTTAGAACATATAATTCTGTGAGATGAGATGTCCTTTTTTTTTCCCGGTCACAATTTGGGAAATGATGCTAAATTCAATAACATTTCTTAAGCGCTTGCTATGTTGAGTGGTCCTTATATTTTGCACGTCAGTCTGATCCCAAGTCTTCAGTTGTGGTTTTTCACCATAAATGGTTCAGTGAGCTGTCTTCCTTCATTATGCATGTTTGAGGCTTGTATTCTTACAATTCTTTAGCTAATCTTTGAATGAGATTAATTGGTTTTGGCAGAAAGTTAGCCTTTTTTTAGTAGTCTCCCTTCCCATCAACTTGAAAATGCATCTCTTCAATATTTCTTTTCCAAAATGATCATGGATTATCTTCTGCCAAAGGTAGAAAAAGACAAATAGAGTGATACCCTATCTTTTCTCTTTCACAGCATATGATTCATGGTGAAAAGTCTTATCATTCATGCATTCATTCATTCTATCTTTCTTTTTTGTCAGAATTTGGGAAATGATGCTGAATTTATCGACATTTTCTGAAGCACTAGCAATGCTGAGTGGTTCTTATATTTTGCACGTCAGTCTGATCCCATGTCTTTGTATGTGGTTTTCACGCTTGTATTGCAAATGATTCAGTTAGATGTCTTAATTTGTTGTTACAAAATTTGGGAAATGATGCCAAGTATCAAAATATTTGCCTGAGCACTTGCTATGCTAAGTGGTTCTTATATTTTGCACGTCAGTCTGATCCCTAAATTTGTTTCAAATTTTTTATGGGGGATCTTTTTAGCATGTAGTGTGACTGTTCACAGTGATACACCTTTCTTCCTCTGTTGCAAATATTTATAACTGATCCCAAATTTGAAAGTAGTGGCTTAAGCACTTAGTATGCTGAGTGTTTCTAGTGTATTGCGATACTAACTGACCGATTGAATATCTCTTTCATCTTATCTCGACCCTTTGGTGGCTGCAGGTTTCCTTGCTAAAAAACCGCATCAACATTGCTAGTGGCACACCAAGCAGGTTGGTTATTTTTCATTTCTTTTAGGATGCTACTTAACTTCAACTGAAGATCATCAAAGAGCTCCAGTTTTTCATTCAATGATCTAAATATTTGAACACTTGACATTGTTAAGTTACAGTCTTAAACACCTGTCGTATATAATATAGGTGCATATCTTTCTTCCAATTTTCAGGATAAAGAAGCTCATTGACACTGAGGCATTGGGCCTTTCAAGGTTACAAGTGCTTTTGCTTGACATACACGCAGATGTAAAGGGTTATTCATTGTTTACATTACCACAAGTCAGGTTTGGCTATGATCTATTTGTCCTTAAATTATGCCTCTCCTTCCTCTCACTATTTGTCTCAACCTTAATGACATTAAGAAATTGATGAGATATATTTAATTGACTCTTCTCATCTGACAACCTCAGTGATGGTACTTTCTGTATATAATTTATTGGCAGTGATGAATTCTGGGACTTGTTCAAGACTTATTTGTATCAACCAATGGTCCAAGGTAATCTGCGTATCTGTCTTTTTGGTCCATGTCATCAAGCTGTTCGGTTAAAAGGCAAAAGAAGACATTCTGATAAGTAAATTATTCCCATCATTATGCATTTTTGAGACTTGTATTCTTGCAATTCTGTAGCTAATATTAGGATGAGATATATTGGTTTTGGCAGAAGGACATTTTTTTTTTAATTAATCTCCCTCCTATCAACTTAAAAATGTCTTCCCAAGATGCATCTCTTCAATGATTTTCCCCAAAACGACCATGGATGATCTTCTGCCAAAAAAGACACAATGAATCCCTGTTGTTTCCATAGAAGCCAGTTTTGATCTCTTGGAATGCTTTATTTCTATTGCACACAAGATGAGATATGTAATATTGAGAGAATATAATTTATTCCCTCAATTATCGATTCAAATTCAATCCTTAGCAATGTTTTTATAATTTTTTGATTCGGAATAATCCAGTCTTTATATTTTCTTTACTTGAAACAACTTAGTTTTTATAATTCTTTAACTTAATAAACTACAAGTGCTCAGTTATGCTGAGTCAATGTTCAAGAATTAAATGGATAATTGAAAGAAAGTTTAGGGAATAAAAGTTATATTATCACTGTAACATTTTATACATTGGTTATAATCCTGATTTCATTTGTTTCCTTCTCAGTTTTCATTTGCTAACCACTTTCTAGTTAGACGCCAATAGAAATCCCTTTTGATTCATGAAATGGGAATTAGTCTTTTGAATGTGCCTAGTTTCTAATTTTGATTTAATTTTGGGATTTTATTGATTGTTCCAACCTAGGGTGAACTTTCAAAGAGATGCTTCATGTTGAAACAATATTATTTGATTCTGCTTGAGGCTTGTTGGGTTGGGTTCTTCTAGTTCAGTTGTGTTCTTTCTTTGTTCATGATCAAATTTTCATATTCACAATTTAATCCTTATGCTATATGGTAAGAAGTTACTCCTCCCATCTTTTATAAGACATTTTTGGAGGTGATTTGATGTCTAAATGCAAGACACTTTGATAAAAATAGTTTTATTAATTATACTTGTTCTAATATTATTCTGATTATATTCTCTTTTTGTTTAACCTATCACAAAGAATGTTCTATTTAATGAAGAATATTTTTAAAAATGTGTTTAAAATAATTGTAAAATGTATTTGATGAATTTTATTGATGTGTGTAATTTTGTTTAAAAATGTCTTGTAAACTAGGACAAATAGTGTAACTTTTTACTCACCACCTCTTTGCAACTAAGAGATATAATCAAAATGTGGATGGTTGTAAAAACGCCATGCTATTAAAATTAGATGGGATTGGTTGGTTTGACCTGAAAATAATACTAGGCAACTTGTGGGATTTGTTTTGCATTTAAATTTATTATTGCTGAATTTTTATTGGTATACTATTGTCAAATATATTATTGTAGGCCAAGTAGAAGAGAGATAATCTCTTAAAAATGAAGAGTAGGGGTATTCATGAGATGAGATCGAGACATCCCTGACCCTTGTCCCATCTTGAAGAGTTATAGAGATTGAATTTGTCTTGTGTCCTGTCTTATCTTGAAAGTGGTCTAGTTCCGTTAGGAATTGGGATGGGATTGGGACAAAATCAGGACGTCTTGTCGTCACGATAAAGTGAATAATGTGGGAGAAAAACTTAGATAGTAACATTTATTAATTAAAATTTTAAATTACATAATTTATTAAGTTTAAAATCAAAACAATATAAGTTATTAACCACAATTATATACATGTGACGTAACATATTATGATAGTAAATACAAGTGATTTTAGGTTATAAAAATAACAACAATAGATAAGCTTAATACAATATTAAATCTTTTTTTTAGTTGAAATATGTTAAGCTAGTGATTTTTTTTGAAATAAAGCAAGAGATACAATGAAAATAAGAGTTACTAAATAGGTAGATACAATAGTAAATTATATTAATTTAATTAACATATTGTAAAGAAATATATTAACATGTACTACTTACTTTATATTATTAAAATTATCAATATAAAAAACTTAGTTTTAAATAAAAAATAGAAGAGTATTGAAATTATAATTAATATAAGTATAAATTATATTAATATATTTATTGTATTTAATGTATTTTTTAAATAATATATATTTATATAATATTTGGGGTGGGATGAGACCACCTGAGGGTAATCTTGTGTCTCTTCTTGTCCCAAATTATTTTTCGTACTTTGTCCTGTAAAGTCTCGTCTCGATTATCTGTTAGGCAGGAGGAGACTTGTCTTGATATGATCAAGATGAGATTGGGTCAATCGGGATGAGTACAAGTTGAACATATAAGTAAGAGGTTGAATATAAAATTGGTTTAAGATAGGAAAGTACACCATTTTTCTCAAAGTTAGGCTGTGATATATGCAGACTGAATGACATTACCTATCAGACCCCAATAAATTAATTTAAACATTCTAAGAATGTGTAAACTTTATTATTATTATTATTATTATTATTATTATTATTATTATTATTCTTTAATAAAATGGGCAAGCTAAAGCATGAGAAAAGAATGGTGGTGTAGGGGCCAGAACTATGACTAGTCTTGGCCATAATATCAGCACACGTGGTACTTTCTCTGCAATTAAAATGCATTTCGGATTCTCAGTCTTTATAAATAAGTTTTGGGGGTCAAGTTAATGAAAGTGCAAAATGGATGATCTTGTCCACTATATCTAAACAATAAATTCAGAGCCTTAATAGAGTTAATAGTTGTGTTTGCTAGAAGTTAAAACCTTGTTTTTGGGCAGACCTCCAGACCTGTCATAGTGGCAAATACTTCTGCAATATATTTCTTCCATCCTAATTTATGAGATGTTTAAGGAGAAGATCTGGGTTTTAAAATATAAGAAGCTTTGATAAAAATAAAGATTCATTAATGATGTTTTTTTTAATATTATCCTTTTCATTATATTTTTCTCTCTTTTTAAATATTCTTTTAACAAAATTATTTAAAAAAAGTATTAAATGAAAGGCATTTTAATTTTTTTTTAAAAAATAAAGTATATTTAATGAGTTTTATTAATATATGTAATTTTGTTGAAAGTTTTTAAAATTTTATAGAAAGTTGCCATGACATCTTTTAATTATTGTCATCTAGTCACTTTCAACGATTAAAAAATTAGGTCGAACCATAGTCAGAATGTGGAGTGGTTAGGCTAACAGTTCAATCAAGTAAAAAAAAAAATTATTTAGAGTTTGGCTGGATTGGGCTGCTTTGGATTGAAGGTTAGACTGAAAATTGGGGTTAAGTTGGAAATTGAATCTTGTTTTTAAAAAACCCACCAAATTGCTCAAAAATATTCTTTTTCTTTTCTTTTTATTTTTTATCATATTTTAAAAAATGATCACTTTTTTAATTATTTAATGTTATATTATATTATGTGATTTGTTAAATATGATAAGTTTAAAATATTTAATTTTTTTAAATTAAGTGGCAATTATATATTTATTTTTTATATTTAAAGCATTATATGTGTGTATATAATTTTTTAATTTAATTATTATGTCATTAGTTAACCAATTCGAGCTGTGAATCGCAGGTCTTTTTAATTTAGTATGTAGTTTGGTTTCAAAAAGAAGCTACAGCTAAAATAGATTCTCAAAGAGGGATGAGATATTTCGGTTCCAACACCTACTACTTCAAAGGTTTCATACGTTGTTTCTTCACATTGGATCCCGATAAGGTGACCAAGTCGATTCATGCAAATTACAAAGGTGCATGGATTTAATGAGTTACCTTACCTAACCCCTCTAGATGGGAAGGATTGTATTGCTTCACCATTCCAAAGCACTTGCTTGTTGTGGTGGAGTCAATATCTTGAATCGGGAGATAATGGTAGAGTTAGGATTTTAATATGAGGAATATTTTTTTTTTGTCTCTTTTAAATCCAATATTTCTCTCTCTTTCTTTCCTTTTTTTTTTTGTTTTTCAATTCAATTTTTAATTGTAGACTTGTAAGTATAGCAAAATAGTGAAAGACATTTAATTATTTACTTTTGAGTTTTGAATTTTCATTCATTATATCTTATTATTTGATGTTCCAAATATTTTCACATAAATTAAGAAAAGCTGTTTTGAGTTTATTTGTCACAAAAAAAAATTTGAAGTATTCCAATTATACTCCCAATTCGTTTTTTTTTTTTTTGGTGAAAGAGATCATACAATCTTGACTCAAGTCATGAGATTACTGTTAAAGTTAGGGGGATAAAAAATATCATTTAATACTTTGACACATCCCCTTTTAAATCAAAACAACTTTATCTTCAAAAAACCCACCTTATGTGCAAGACTGGAGTGAATATATTCAAGGAAGGTGATGGCTAAGGGGTGAGTAAAACCTAACCAAAATCAAAAATTGAATTGAATTTTTGTTATTTGATTTTGATCTTTTTGGTTTTTCAATTCAATTCATTTTTTTAAACATTTCAGTTGATCGATTTGATTCAGTAGATTTAAAATCAAATAGATTGAATCAACTAAATTATCATGTATATATAATTTATTAATTTAAAAATATATTTAGTTTATTAATTACTTTATTTTATTTATTATTTTTAATTTTATATTTAAATAAAAGTGAATATATAATTTGATAAGTTGAAACTCTAAAGCTTCATTAAAATGGGCTACTATTACTTTACAAGCTAATTTTATATATAAGTCTTGTCTATTTTAATCGAAAAAAATAACAAAATTAGCCTAAATGCAAGCAGTCTAACATGAAGCTTAAAATGAATTGACTAATCAAACTGAATTGTGAGATTTCAATTCAATTTGATTTATTTTTTTAACATTATTTAATTGAATGATTTTATATATTTTGGTATCAAACCCACTGATGTTCACCCCTAACGATGGTTGCCACAAAGCTCATCCGATCAAGCCAAAGATCTTAGGCCACTAGCGTGTACACTCGATTCTAGGAAAGGCATGCTCGATTGATGCAAGTGGAAGATGCAAAACATAGATGGACTTGATCATAACAATCAGCCAAAAGTGTGCACTGGTGCAAGTTTTAATTATAATGAACAAGTATTTAAGGTTAATAATCATGTGAGATTTAGCGAGTGGGTGAGTGATATCTTGAGTCCATAATCATATATTTTAAATTTTCATGGAGATATTTGTTATTAATTCGTGCATTTTGCTAGAGCATAGAGATTGAAGATGCATGATTTTCGTTTATGATTCATGAATACATCTTATTAGAATTTTTATATCATATATAACGTATATTTTTGTGCATTTCTTAGCGTAAATGTTAAAGTTGATTAAAAAAAAAAGTAAAGATACTTTAAGATTTACAAAGTATTAAAATATTATCTGTAAGTCATGGATTAAAAGTCATCAAACTTTGATGTAAAACACAAGTTCTCCTAACTTGTAAGATACAAATAAATTTCATGTAAATAAGTAGATGATAATAGAGGATCACAAAATATGTTTATTGTTTTGAACTTGCTGAAATTTATCTAACATTAATTTTTTTCCTCAATCATGATGCCTCCAAAAGTAAATGATAATTCCAGAATAATAAATGACTATTTTCATTGAGCAAGTGAAAAAAGTAGTGTAGGAAATTACTACTTTCATTTCGTAAGTGTTGAATCTTAGAGATATATGACAATTTCAAAGTATCATATGATGACTTTCATTAAGCAAGTAACTAGAAAAGCATAGAAAATGACAAATTCTATATCTCAATTTCGAATTAAATAACTACTTCAAAGTAGCAAATGATTACTTTCATTAAGCAAGTAAATAAAACTGCAAGAAATGATTACTTACATTTCTCAATTTTACTTCGCAAGTGTTGAAAGGTAAATAATAACTTCAAAGTAGAAAATGGGCACTTTTATTAAGCGAGTAATTAAGATCATCTAGGAAATGAGTTTCAAACAAACAAAAATTGCCAATTGATAAAAAATCAATTTATAACTTACAAGATCATCAAATTAAATTTCATTACTGACATAAAAACTTATTGATATATAATATATAAATATTTTATAAGTATTCTTTGAATTTAAAATTATACTATAATTTTGATGAACTTACAAAACCTGACTCACTTAAATTTTAGTTTATATAAAAAAAAGTATAAAAAATGACTACTTCCATTCTCAATTTCATTTCACAAGCGTTAATAAAGAAAGCAAGCATTTCCTACATTATTTTAATCACTCATTTTAGTGAAAATAGTCATTTACTATTTTGAAATTGTCAATCATTTCACACACACAAAAAAAAAATTGATGTTGAGTAAGTTCTTAAAGACTTCAAAATAATTATCCAATTTTGTGATCCTCGTCATTAATTTATTTAGGTGAAATTTATGTCATTTTTCCTAACTTTTAAAATGAAAATAAATATACGTGACTTGGGGTCACATCAGGCAGTAAGGGTAGGATGTGAGCAACAGTAAAATATCCAAAGTTCCAAACCTTCCCATATAACCAAAAAGAAAGTTTTTAATACTGTTCTCGAAAGGATAAATTCGCCCACCCACTACAGAAAAAATTATTTTGCCTGAAAAATATGAACTAACTTTTTAAAAATTTTAAAATACAACTAATTCACGTTGATATACAAATAATTTATTATTAATATATAAATAATTTATTATTAAAAATTTAAAAATTTATAAAAATTTATCAATGATATACAATACTATATCATTAACAAATATAATAAATTAACTATAATATAAAAATATAATAAATATTGCACTGTTTGTTTGATTTAAACTTATAACATGAGTTATATATGTAAGAGTCCCTCAAATTCATTTTGATATAATATTATAATTCATTCCAAAGAAAAAATATCTTGAACAATCTTTTGGACAGTATGCATAATGATACCCCATCGCCAGCGTAACTCCACTAGCTACTAATATTAACAAATCAACTAAAGCTAATTTCTTTCTTTTTCTTTTTAATTTTTTAATGAACATTATCATGTGATCTAACTTCATTATGCATTATCAAGAATAATCCAATCAATACAACAATAGTTACAATAGACAACATTAAGGGAAAACTCCATCTATGGAGAACCCTTGTATAATTAATTATATTCATATAATATAAAATATATATTGCAAACCTAAGTTAAGTGAAAGCCCTCTCTCTCATCCATTTTACTGCAGACCATTTTTTCCCAGAAAGTACCTCACATGCTCCATGAAGACTTTTCGGATCTGATTTTCCATTTAGTCCCTGAAATAACACACAAAAACATAATAAATACTTACTTTCACTCATTAAGTTTGCATAAATTGAAATCATTCATACATTTCTCTTGAGCTATAGTCTAGTTGTAACTTCAATGTAAAACACTTAATTACCTTCAATTATTAAAAAAATGAAAATATTATAATTTAAAATTAGCATCCAAAACTTAAATGATTGTTAGTCATTATGTGATACCTTGTGTCTCCATATCACTTTCCTTCCATAATTCAATGCTAAGTATGACGCGTTCAATACAACTAGAATAGTCAGGACATGGAGATAATGCAACCTTAGTCTTTTAAATCGACTTGGTGCCTTAAATTTAATTTTTATAAATCTAGTCCCCTGCATTTTATTAAAATAACTAAGTAGTCTCTAACAATTGAAGAGGGAAAAACACAATTAAAATTTACTGAGCTAAACTTAAGGGGCTAAAACTATTAATTTGAAACTAGCATCTTAAGATTAAATGATTGTCAATCATTAATTATGTGATACTTCATGCTTTACGTCTCCATCATTGTCCTTCCATGATACGCATGGCATCCTCACTACCATTAGGATAGTAGGGATATGCTTTTGCTGAACCAGCTATGGTACTGTTACAACAATCTCATATCCTCTATATTCAAAAAGTAAATGCAGCCAATTAAAATAATCACAAAAGAAAATGACTGTAGTGTATTCTAGGGAAAAAAAACAAAAGAAAGAAAAAGAAAATGGGCATGAAAATAAAATAAGGCCATATGCAATTATTCTGTGTCCATGTCAGTGTTCATGTTTCCTAGGCTACACATATTTCATTGTACCATCAATTTATATTATACACCCTCGGATCTCTATTAACAACTTTATATGGATAAATGAATTCAATTAAAATTAGTTAATGCTTTTAAACTCTCAAAATTACCCTCAATGAAGTTTATCAATTAGAAGAGGTTATTTAATTAGTCATGAGACTGTTTAATTGGTCAAGGAATATGAAAGCAAAGGAAATTTAGAGGAAAAAATTAATGTTTTGGAAGAGAGAGAATTTTATATTAAGGACTATGACAAAGGTCCTCAATCCTATACCTAAGGTCTAAAGGGAGTAAAATCATACCAAATCACATTATTTATTATAATCATAACAAGTGTATTTCTCATAATTTAAAGGGAAAATGTTCCTAGTTGCTCTTATGTAAAAAAGCAAATATGGATACTAACCATACTCCAGAAAAGTACTGCATTTCCTTTAATTGGCTTCACAGAGATCCCTTTGACAATTTTCCCACCACAGTTACATTCACCCGAACCACCCTGCAATGCATTTATGCATATTAACAGCCAGAAGATCCTCTTCCAAGAAATTCTGATCAAAATTTTAGGTGATGCCGGCATAATAATACACTTATAACAACAGTCATCTTAATTACAACAGTCTCATCTTAACAGGTCATTGTATGTTTCAAGTAAAAGATAGAATATAGGTAAAATAATACTCCCTTCGTTCCACTTTATAAGACAATTTTAAACAAAATGATGCATACTAATAAAGTTTATTAAATACACTTTATAATTTTATTTTTTCAAATAAAAAATATAAATTTCTAAAAATATTCTTCAACTAATAAAACACTAAACAGAGATAAAGACAACATAATACGGAGTGAAGGATAACATTGGAAAAAACATATTTAATGAAACCCTTTTTTTTTTTATCAATTTGTCTCATACTTTTTGAACATCAAATCACTTCCAAAATTATGTTATAGTGAGACAGAGGGAGTAAAAACAACAATAATAACTTTTTTTTTATAAAAAACCAAAGGCACTGATTAACTTAACTGATTTGAACAATAAAGAGATAATTTACTGAGACTTGTAAATGCAGAATCCAGAATTGGTTCTTTGAGACACTGGATCAGGACAGGTTTAAAAGAGATATACTTTTGACGATGATTTTATCAACCCAGAAGCCACTAAGAAAAATTTTAAACAATCAGACAAGTACAGTACTTATTGAAATAACATAATTTAAGAGTGTTTATGAAGCAATGGCAAAAGATGACTCAAACGAAGGACCTGTCCGTGTCAGCCACTCATCAGTAACAGACACTGAATATGACAAGAAATAAATGTTGAAAATCCTTCCTGCCTATGCTGTGTCATCTCTATATCCACGCTTCATTCAACATTTAACTACTGGTCTCCTTATAAAGTTAGGAAAGTTATATTAGGTAGAAAAGTAACTGAAAAACACAGACACCACCATTTGTTTTAAATCAAGCCTGACTCCTTATCTCAGATAGAAAGGAACCTATATTTGTGACACTTTAGACAATCTAAAAATCTGCACACAACTATCATCCAATAATTGACAAATGAAATAGTCTAAATGAAAGACTTCAGGAAGCAAGGAGTTCACCGCTGGGAAATATGTTTCACCACCCTCAACATTGTCACCTATATACATGAGCATTGTTGCTATTCGCTGCCCACCTTTTTTCAAGTTGAACTGTAATGGAAGAACAAAAGCACAAAAAGGTGCAAATTGTTTGATCAAAGCCACTTCAAGGAAATTCTTACCCTTATAAAATGGAAAAGACAGCAAGGTGGGAGTCAAACTCACATCATCAAAAAAGTAGTCATTATGGGGTTCATAATACTGATTCTTCTCGTATCTGTGATTCTGCAGATGTTAGCCTTGGTCGCTGGAATATAATTCCTTTGTGTTTGAAAAGGATGGAGAAAATAAAGGCACGTCCTACCTCAAAATTTGAATAGCCTCTCCATTTTCAACTGGTACTTGAGCATAGATTGAAATTCTTTTCTCAATTGCCTGCATGTGCGAGTTGAACATGCTTTATCAAAGTGTTTAGTTAATCCTCACCAAAAAGAAAAGGTTTTCCATCATAGGGCTTATCAAAAAACAAAGATAAAACTCCAGCCCAAACATAAAACAAAACTAACTAATGATTTTAAAGGAACATCAAATTTATCATGTGATAATGAAAACACTAATAATTACAGAAGTTGCAGAAGAAGAAAGGCACATCAAGATGATAAATACATAGAAATCAGAATGTGGGAGTGTAGCATTTTTTTTTAAAAAATCTTTGGGCGGTGGGCAATAAGGTGTTTTGTGTTTGTGCCATAAATATGATATTAAATTTGAGGATAAAAATATTAAAACAATAAACTATTCTCCAAAACAAATTGCAATATAAACAAACATACCTGCACCATTGGGTGTTTTCTATCTTTCGAACTCAGGAACATACCAGAGCTTGTCCTGACATTGCTCATGAAACTCTATGAAAGATGAAGAAAAAACAGATGAGAGGCTATTTGGTAGGCTACAAACTACAATTCTTATTTGGAGGACATAGACAATAGAGAAGTTGACAGGCTAGAAAAGACTTCTTGTGGAAAGCGTATACTCACTTCTTTTATTTGGGTCATGTTACAATAGCAGCGGACACAAGCTAGGACTGTGAAAATGTGGTGTTACCTAGTTATATTCCAGCTGCATTACCGGATGGAGTGTAAATTTGTATCCATTTTAACTCTATCTACATCTACAATAATTGTGCAGGCTAATATCATCAGCGATGCAGATTGTAAAACAAAAGGTTTCCCCACCTTTATTACAAGCTTCACATGTTACAAGAGATTGGAGAGGGAAGGAAACCCTAGTTCCAATGTTAGTGTCACTTTTTCAAGTGGCATTTGACTTTCAAAATCCAATCATAGTGTCCTATGGTTTATTGGAGTACCGCCCAAGGAAACATACTGAACATGCCTCACGATACACCTTCCTAGTTTAAACATAAAAAATGTAAAGCTAACCTCATTTCTCACATCTAATGAATAAAGTATAATAGAAAACCACCAAAGCAATTATAGGCATCCAAGTTCATGTTTTGGATGGCCTAGATAATGAAAACCAATCAAAATAAAAAACCAATGTACCTTTCCTGTTTTTGAATCTACCACATGTGAATTTTGAAGGTGAGGGTACCCTATAGCCTTCAGATACTCACACTCCTGTAAAGGAAAAATAACTTCAATTCCAATTAATATGTAAATGGCCTTCATCCACAAAGTTGTAATGATCAAAAACTTTATTTAGAAGCTAAATTTGTTACAAAATATTAGTATTAATGTTATTGTGTTAGTAGTTATGATTTTTTCTTGTCCCGCATCATCAGAAGACCTCATATGGGGATTGCTTGACAGAACAACAAAAACAGCCTACATTACTTCACAGTTCACAACTAGCAGCACCATGTGAGAAGTACCAGAAAAAGATTCACCAAAATTATACTTTATCACGAGAAACCACAGTATGTACAGATGAATAGAGAGTGCAATATGGTGACAGCTGATGCTTGGCACCATTTGCCAGAACTGATTTAAAATGAACTGAGTCCGCTGGCCATGCCAAAAAAACATGCAAATTTGTTGGTGAAGGCAAAAAAACAATAAAACCAAAACTTGGCCGTAATCTTGATCCTCTGTTATATAATATGAGTCCAAATCTACCATGTTAATACAGAAAATTTGGCAATAGGAAAGAAGGCATACCTCCATGCTTAGGAAATTATGCAATAAAATGATTCGAGGAGACCAGCTAAGAACTTCAGGTTTGATCTACAACAAGAATTAGGAGCACAGAAGGATAATCAAAATCAAAGTTTCCTTCAAGCAAATCAATTCTACACTTACAACAATGAGAAATGATTTAAACCAATAAACAAGTTTGAGAGGGAGTGTATAAGCTAATTAGGAACTAGAATAAATGAAGACATGCGTTTGATTAATTTTAGCTTAGCAAATTATTACATCAAAAGGCAAAAAGATAATAAAATGGATCTCATGTGCATTCAATCCACATCAACACAAAGAGCATCATCTTATTTTAACTATATACTAGCCTAAAGTTCATTTCCACTAATAAAAAAAATAAGTTATTCTACTTCAATAACAAAGTGCAATCATGACCAAATGGTGTTTTGGACTTTATTTGACAAAAATCAGAAGCTGTAAAAGTAACAAACATCATAATGTAAAATCTCAAGATAATAAATTGTTGACAGAGAATACAGGATTGTTGATCTGAGACAAATTATCCAACAGAAAAATATATCATAACCATTTTGAATATGACAAGCTATCTATCCATGTACAGATGATAATTAAGGAATATAAACAAAATTCTCTTCCTAGTGTCTAGACAATAAACTCCAAAATACTTCCAGCACTTGCGTTGGCCCTTTACTTTATCTGAGATTGATAGTTCTTTTAGAGAGACTGGATAGCTTTCAAACATGAAAAGTTTAGCGGAAACAAATGTGAAATCTACATACATATCCAAGACGTAAGGTTTCAACTTCCTTGTCATTTTTCCAAAGTGGAAATCCTGAAAATCAGAAAATATAAATTAAGAAAAATGAAGAAAGAGTTCTAATTAGAGAAGGACTGCATACAAGCTACACATATTTATATCAAGAAAAATGATTTCATGTGAATAGTAGCACAAACACTGTCAGTGTTGACACCTTCTATAGCATTTAGTATTTACACATATTGTAACTGTAACACTGTAGTAAGAAACTCATTACTCCTGACATGGCAGATAAATACATTATTTAGTCACTTTATGGTGCAGTGAGTGCGTCTAGCAAACTCATACCTTTTCTCAGCCATTAAGTTCAAGGGTTTTTGGGCATAACAAGGAAAAAAAACTGCTTTTTCAGATTACTGTGCTTGCAGGCTGTGATCTTCATAATTAGAACTGATCAACTGAATGCATCTTTGAGGGACCTGAACTTATTCAACCTATAGTGTTGAAGATGAATGAGAGGAGAAGAATGGAAGAGGGACTCAAACAGTGTCTTTACCGATAAATAAAAGTTTCAAACAGCTTCCCTAGGTGCTTCTCCCATAAGTCTTCTTTAATGGAAACATTATTTTCTTGGCCACTCCATGGATCTTAAAAAATGATCTTATTTTATTTTTTGGGAGCTACCGTCATAGATTTCCAATAGGGATTTTTTGGCCATGAATTGCAAACCAATTGTAAAGTTGTATTGAGCTAATGTTTCATTGTCTTGATTTTCTTATTAATGCTATGCGATGATTACTTATGCATCACGGGATTTCTTTCTTTCTTTGTGCATCAATACGTATCTGTTCTGCTCAAAAAGAATTAAGAATATTGATCCTAAAACCCTGACAGGCAGCAAAATTTTCCATAAGGAATAAAACAAGAAATCACGTCAGGAAATAAAAGTTTTATACTTCTAAGACACTGACCTCTGGGCAATTGAAGGACACCGTCCCTCTGATGCAGTCTTCTAAATCTTGGAGACTTTGTGCTTGTGCCTAAAATGAAACTGTCAGGCTACAAGGAAGCTAATGCTAAAATACTACCAGACACTAACCAACTAAATTTTAAAACCCAGTTTACAGTCACATCATAAATTAGTACAATTATCATCATTATCTTCTTTTATTCATATAAATTTCAAGGGGCCGGAGTGTATAGCAGAATCAAGCGCCTTCACTATCAAATCTCCGAGATCTATCAAAAAGTCAATAAATGTCTCCCCACCTATCACCATATTACTGCTAGAAGTTACCATTACACCACCTCAAAATTCACCTATAGAAGGCCAAAAGGCCTCCCAAATATGGCTTCCACTCTCTAAACTCCCCTCATTGCTGAAGACGTAATAACGCATTCATTAAAACATTTGCAAAGTCCCCTGCCTTCATTGGGATCGAGCTGAAAAAGCCCTCAAGCAACTACTACAACTCCAGCTCTGCCTTAAGGACTACACTAATTATTCATCATCATAATCCAATGTGACTTTTAAGATAACTTGGCACTAGCAGAACAGTGTTTAAAAATCCTTGGAAGCATTTTCTCATCTAGATTGTTTCTTGTTTTATTGAAATGAAATTTCTACCATAAATCTTTCTGACATTACATCTGTTGTATCTATCCTTGAAAGGTCATCGAATTACTTGATCTAACCTCAGTTAAGAAGGCTAACAGTTTCAAACCACAAATCATTGCAGTACAAACCTGAGGCATGCTCATTTGCTATGAGAATAATCAAAATCATTTAAAAAAAAAAAAAGAAAACCAAGAAAAGGTAAGCAAAACTGGTATCTCAGTTCCACTTAAACAAACAGGGTTGGGCAAACATTTCGATGGTTATAGCCACAAAGTGCCAAACAATAATGTAACGATGGAGAGTCTATATTATATACGAAAGAAGACAGAATAGCTTCAACATCTTCAAAATTCTTGCACCCCAATGTGACAGAACATGACTGCATGTGCTTACCAGGGGAGTCTTCCAGTTGTCGTAAAAGTGCCAGTTGAGAGACAGAACCTGTAATTCCAAAACAAAAAACAATCCGTTAATAAGATCGCATTGCGCCAAGCTTTCTTGAAATTGCTAATCAATCATCCAATATTTTTTGACATATATCATAGTTCTATTTCTGTTATCAGCTCTACATCAAAGTAGAAGACATCATTCTCCTGTTGAGAAAAGGAAAAAAAAAATCACAAACAAAAGTTGGGATTTTGAATTCTGTTTGTTGGAAGCTGATAAATTTGCCAGGAAGGCAGGACAGACAAATTTCTAAAAGAACAGAGTCCCCCCAGTTCTGGAAGTTTCATCAACATGGATTCCGGACTTTAAACTTCACCCCTTTCATTGTTTTGTTCTGTTGGTGGACGACAACAAAATCAGGAAAAGTTTATTACGAAGGAACAGGTTGTGGGCCTATCAAGCGGGGCCCACTTCTTGTTTCTTTCTTCTCTCTCTTGTCTCCCTTTTTTTCAAATATATTGTTTCCTTCCCTTAGGAACTTCACAAATCACAGTGAACAATACCGCTGAAGAACCAAAAACTGAGAAACAACCCTTCAAAAATAAACTGAATGTTAAGAAGCTCTGATGAATTCACGATCATCATCCTGGACTTGTAACGCACAGAGAAGACAAATAAAACAGAATGTACTATTTCTTGTTTCCTAAGAAAACAACATGATACTCAAATTGAAAATCACAAGCAAAAGTCACACCAAACTACCCAAACTCATATGATTATAAATTTTTTCCCTTATTTCACTACCGATGATCAAGCCGACGGTGACAAATGAAAGAAGCCCGAAGATGAACTTCATGGAAGGAACCATGTATTACTTGCCAATGTAGAGTTGAGAAAGACGGGGGCAAAATGAAGAATGAAAGAGGGGTGAAAGAAACGAAAACACAGATTCAATGGCAAACGTTGTGCGCCTTTTAAAAAGACAAAGAAACCGCTTTGATCGCCCATTGCTTGTATTGAGTCAATTGGCTTGTCTTCTTTCTTTCCTTTCCCAACTTTGAATTGTTCTTCGTCGCAGTATCGTACCAATACCAGTATTGAATCCTGTCGAACGCCAACGGATTTTGTGCCTCACTGCCACTCACCATATATATGTGAACACACACACTTGTCATATATATTATGACACTTCTATATTTTATTATTTTTTACTTCTACAATTGTATTGGATGTTCCCTAGTCAACATTTTTTTTTATGTTTAAAATTTATATAAGTATAATTTTTTTTTAAAGGGTGTAACTTTTTTAAAAACTAAAAATAAAAGAAAAATTGCTCTAAAATCTTGACCACAATATTTAAGAAATTTTGGAGTTTGGCTCCCCTCTCCTTTCATATTGCTTGCGTCCAATTTGAATTTATTTGGGAGAATGATAAATAAAAGTGTTATAAGAGTACTAATATTAAATTAATAGTTTTTAATATTTTTAAATTTCAATACTCTTTCTATCATATTTTAATACTAAATTTTTTAATTTAATATTAATATTTTTACAAAGTTTTTATTTGGCATTCTCCCATTATTTTTTTGGCTGGGATCTAAAATTTCGGATGATTCTGCCCTAATTCTGACTAACTCGTTTCTTGATGGCACTCTTCCACCGTGGCAACCACTGCCTATGGAACTCCTTTACTTCGCGGGCAAAAAGAACAGCTCAGCCAGCAGCAACTATTCACATTTTAAAATTAATTGAAGCAGAAAATAGAGATCAGATTACAGTACCTTGGCGAAGACAGAGAGTGAGAACTGAGAGTGAGCAAGGGAGAGAGGGCGAGGAGCTGAGAGAAGGAAAGCGACGGTGCCGCTTGCGAGGTGAGACAAAGCATGATGAAGACGCAACACAATGAGATTGATGTCTGATGAGCGGCACTGGGAATGGTGATGATGATTTTGTAAAGCGACACGGTGGATTATTTTTTCTGAAGAAGAGATTCTAAAGCATGAACATAAATATTAATTATACTAGAGATTTTTTGTTGTCAACAAAAAATATTTTAGCCATCCTTGACTCATGAGCCTTTTTTTTCTTCTTTTGTATAGTTACCATTTTTTGTAGAGCTCATAGTTTAAATAAGCTAAGTTTATATAGGTCAAATTTAAATTGAGCTGGATTTATTTAGATTGATTTAAATAAACTTAAATTTATAAAAAAGTATAAATAATCAAGTTTGACTTGAACTTTTTAGGATTTTAAATTTATTTAGGCCAATTTAAATATTTGAATTATCAATTTTTATTTTTTAAAATTAATTTTATTTTAATTTTTTAATCTAAGATTAATTATTTTATTTTATAAATAAATTATATTTTTTGAGATATTTAAACAATGTAGAAGAGTCAAACTTGTTTTTATAAAAATATGTGGGTTTTGAAATTTAAAAATTAATATTAAAAGACATTGTAAATATTATTTTGAGATATTTTAAACTTAACAAAAATATGACAATATAAATATTTTTAATTTTTTTTAAAATATTTATAATAATGTAGTTAAATATATGGTATCTTAGTATAAAATGACTTAGGATTAAAGAAATAATTAATATTTAATATATTCTATATATTTGTAAAAATATAATTTTTTAATTCAGGTATTTGTGCTAAGCTCAATTCTGATTGAACTTGGTGTAAATTTTTTCAGGCCTATTAGAAATCAAATATTAAAAAAATACAATTTTTTTAAAATAAGTTCTAAATTTTTTAAAACTTATTTGGATTAATTCATTGGGTTTAATTAAAATTACCAACTCTATTTTTTTCACAATTGCTTGCTAATATACATGGGTATAAGTAATGTTATATATGAATATAATAGTAAACTAACTATTAACTTTCCTCATTTCTCATTATAAACTAAATAAAAGTTCATTAAAAATTCTTTTATTCCCTTCTCCTCCAACAAAATTAAATAAAATAACGTAAAAATATTATCCTCCTCCCCTCCCCTCCCAAAACTAAATATAGCCTAACCTTAATTCCTTTTATATGGAATCTATGGGTGTCCACATGACGCGTCTAATGATCTACCTGAAGTAAGGGCTCAATAAACGCCACACTTCTTTTCATTTTTTATTTGATGGTTTTCATTCATAAATCTAACATCTTTGTCTTCCTGTATCCTTCTTTTGTGAATTTTGTAGCCTTTTACCCTTTACACACGAGTTAAAGAGACATTGCATTATTGTATACCCTTTGACATGAATTTTATTGTGCATTTAACAAGAAGTTATTTCTAATTAAATTCTGTAGCTACTTTCTTTAATTGTTTTAAATTGGCACGTTCAAAAACTTATGGAATAAACCACCGTAATGACCCATTATGTTTTTGAAATTAGTAATTTAATTGTACTTTAAGGCCATCCAATGTTTAGCTAGTTTGTGCTTATAAATTTGAGGGAGTGCTATGAGATGAGTCTAGTGTTAGCTTTGAGTTTAGTGTTAGACTCTTGAGTTTTTTTGAATATATTCTCTTCTTTAACTTTGTACTATATTGTTAGTCTCTATTGCTCTGTGTTATTGTTAATTTTTGTTTAATTTTGGAGAGTTATTGTGTGATTGATACAATGTGATGAAATAATTTTTAAAAATAATGTTTTTAACACAACTCAAATTTAAAATCTACTCATTAATTCTAGCAAAGTTTGAATCACTAGAATATACACACACATGAGTGTCAAACACTGTTTTTTCATTCACTAGATTAAGGAATGAAGCTACGACTTCTAACCATGCATATGTTATATTGGGCAAAACTTGTCTTTTGGAACTAGAAGACATTGATAATCTTTGAGCAATTAAGTTTCTTTTGCCCCTTTTTCATTTAGTAGTAATATAGCCACACAATATCACAGCTATATATTGGTAGAGTTTGTAAATTAAATGACTGGTATTGTTTACGTTGATATGAATTTCTTTTCTCCAAATTTCAGGGATTATTGGGCAATGAAATTTGTAGTCTTCATACTAATTTTCCCTAACTTATTTTGATATAACTATTTTTAATAAATTAATAATTAAAGACACTGAACGCTGTCATTCTGCAAGAAAAAGGAGACGCTTGATGCATCCCCCTTCACTCGCAATCGCAAAGATAGAGACCATAGATAAATATTTTAAAAACCAGTCCGAACGTGAATTAGAAAAATAAACAATTCTTGATTTTTATGACTTTAACTGTAATATAATAATTCAATAAGAATAATATTAAATATACATATATATAAAATAAATATAAAAAATAAATTTATAATATGTATAATTATTAATAAAATGATACAATATGATTGTAAATTAATAATATTATAATGATAAATTATAATTTTAAAACTTATAAAAGTATAAATGAATTTTTATCAAATTAAATATGAGTGGAATTAAAAATATCTATATTTAAACATATAAGATGATAGTTGTCAACATTTTTTATTTAAAAAAACTGATTTCAAATTATATTATATGTCTGAGAATTGTCGGGAATGAAATTATCTTTTAATAAGAGTTTAATTTTTTAATTTTTTAATATTATATTTATTTTTTTGAATTAAATATTATATTCATTTAACTATTGAACTATAATTGAATTAACTTGAAGGGACCCTTTAACTTTTTCAACGTGATATTATCCCTTGGACAGGGAAAATTCAACAATAATCAAAATTCGATGGTAAGCCCAAATTAAATTTGTTTCATCTAAACAATGTTTTTTTTTTTTGTCCCTGACAACAATTCTGTGGAGAAATAATTGGATTGCATCCTCAACTAATCTTTTGATTAATGTGTGGAGAATTAAATTTGTTTTGATTTGTTGATGGAGAATTAATGAAGAAGATTATGACACAAAAAAAAAAGACTTAATAGATATCCTTTCCCGTTGAAAATATAAGCAGTTTTTTAAAAAATCCTCATACTAATAAATTTATCATTTTTATAAAAATATATATTATTTTTTGTTTTTACCCTTAATCCTAATTGTCAATGTATTTCATGATGAGTGAGAAATAATTGCACACAAAGATCTAAATTGATAAATAGATGGGGTAAAATGAGAAAAAATTTACATATACTAAATTACTTATATTTTGAATCAAAATTAGTTGAGAGAAAATATTTATATTTTGAACCAAAGGAAGTAGTATGTTCGGAGAGTAATACCTTGAAGTAATAATATGAAATTTTCACAAATTTAATCAGCTAATAGGCCACATGCCACCATGGAAAAAAAAAAAAAAAAAACATGCAGCTCACATGGTTTTATAATATGCCGGCACATGTGCATTTGCATCTAAGTTAATATATGTGTGTGTATATATATTATATTATATTATATTTTTCATTAGGCCTACATTAAATGAATTTACGGGGTTAATAGCAATAATTGAAATACTGCAATTTATTTCCCAAGTTTCATACCAATCTATATTTATATATAAAATTATATGTTAAGAAATAGCTGAGAAGGAAATTACCCTATGTATTTTATATCAAGTAAGATTTATATCAAGGAAGTTTCTGTAAGTCAATCACCATATCAATATATATAAGTTGTTTTAGTGACAGTATTTTCACATTCCAGATAGTTATAATATGTTTTTTCAACATTATAGAAAATCCATATCTCAAACAATGGTTTAAACTTGACCTGATTTCAATTAGATTGCAATCAAAATTTAATTTCCTCACAAATTTATCTTATGATTACAATTTCGCTAAATTAAAGAATCAAATTACAAAATCAATTCATTGCATTCTCACCATTAAATGCATGCATTGTATTTCCAAATGATGAATAAAAATTTATTGTCGAGAAATTATTGAGCCCACATGCACGTGTCAGCATAGTAGGAGATTATATTATGTTCTTCTCAACATTAAAGAAAATCCATATCACAAACTAGGGCTGC